TTTTTAACCGGGTTCCTGGCCCTCTTCTTATTCTTCCTGTACCAGGACATGGCCTTCCACCATTCTGTTAAATTTCTGCTCCTCGCCACTAGCTTTTGTTTTCCGTTCAGCCACTTTCTTATCAGGTCCTCCCTCAGTGTGTTCAGCTCTTTTTTGCAGATTATGTATTGTCTCCTATTATTATTATTATTATTATTATTATTATTATTATTATTATTATTATTATTATTATTATTATCAGAAGGAAGAAAAAATTCGCATCCTCCCTTCCTCCAACGTTAATTTTCAATATCTCAGGATAATGCAATGGGCCTTGATTTTTGACGAATGATTGCTCTTGAATATTTTTTATGAAACTGTTGATAACAATCGTCAAAATCGGTGGAAACTCAACCAAAATATGGAATTTGTTTGAATCTCCCTCGCTTCCACATCGTTCACAGTGCAGCGATAGTTTCTCCTCTATACAGTTGTTAATGCACTTCTCCAAATCATCCATGCCCCCTTCTGGAAGAGTCAAAAGCAGAGGCATGAAGCGCTGGGGCTCAGTGTCCTGGTTTCATCGACATCCCTCACACCGAGTGATAAAACGAGTAATTCTATAGAATTTTTCAGTGATGATTGAAATTTGATTATCCTCAGAAATCGTTTCTCCATTGAGTTCCTTATGAGAAATTTCCAAGAGTTCTATCAAGAATTTGGCCGCATCCCGATACCTTTGATGATTAAAATTGGGGTTTAACTTGCCTACTTCCACCCTCAACAGTTCAATGCTCATGGTCCCGTAATTAACACGTTCGCGTTTAATTCGCGTTTAATTATCACTTGTCAAATATATACAATAATGCACAAAGAACGTTGAGAAATCGTTGAGTAAAGTAAACTCAATGCAAGACACGTTGGTTTAAGCGAGTAATTAACGTGAATTAAAAGCCCAATTCGTTGTGCATCGGTGAGACACTCGCGGAAAATCGTTCAGATGCGTGACTGGTTAAATTGACACGGAAAGTTGAGGTGCGTATTACAGAAGGTTGACTGTACGAATGGTTTTTAGGGGGTCCCAAGCTCGCTGGAGACCCTCGTGTCACCGATCCGACCGAACCCCGGAGGCGTCTGAAATTCATCAATCAGTTGTCGTTGAGTTGGGAGGCATTTTTTGTCTATACTTTAAACAGACCTTTTTTGTTGGTAATAAAATTTTGTTCTTTTGACAAAACCCCTTAAAATTCTCCGTTGACAAGATAATTTACAATGAAAAAATGAACTCGCAAATGCGAAAAGCATGGCACACGAATTTCGGGAAACCATGAACAATAAAAAGGTTTTTGCAATTATCCGATAAACAATTGAGTTGATAGGATTTCGGCAAAAAACCTTTTCTCAACGGAATCGAATTCTCAACATAAACCCAATAGTTTATTAAATATCTCCAAAAAATAATTATCGGCAAATTCTTCTGAAAAGTTAATTTTTGAAGAATTCTTTTTCCGAGAATAATCGCGAACATCAACGTGGTCGAAACGAATGAAGCATTAATAGTTGTTTATTTTTCAAGCAACGCTTTGTCTTAAAGCGAATTCGAAAAATTAACAACGAATATTAATTTTTCTTTCATACATGTCGTTTTCCGATCAGCGTTTACTTCTGGGACATCCTGTATATAATTATGCACTGTTGGATTCCGTAGAATAAAAAGTACATTGAGGTAACTTTAAAATTAACTAATACTTTTATTCACGAAAATGTATATATGATTAACAACTAGTGAGACTTGAGGTACTCTGATTCGAGCAATTTCGTCTGGATTGTACAGAGGTTCTGATCTATTCGTTAACCTTGCTAAACTAATTCTAACCTAAAATATAGAAGTTCCCTCATTTAAATGTAACTAAGGGCGGATTGGTGAGTGGAAGGGGAAAGAAAGGAAAAATGGCGAATATGTCTATATTTTGGACATCAAGGGTTTTAGAACGGCTAGGTTTGTGACGTCAATGGGGGAATTGGAGTTCATTGGGGAAAGGCCCAGGGTTTCATTTATCGAAGTGTTTAATGATTATTGGGGTAAGTCCCCTGATGAATGAGTCTTTCTTATACTGTATTTTGTTGGGGAACTACGTGAGAAATAAAGTAATTATTCTAAATTGTTGGGGAACTACCCGAGTAATAAGATGGTTTATCCTTTAGAAATAACTGAGAGTTGGGGTATACAACAGCACTGAGACATTGTCTGCGGTATTATGAAAACGTTTCTGTGTCGATTCAGTGTTTTTTTTTGGCAATGTTAATAGGGAGGACGACCAAAATGGGTCAGTATGAGGTGGCGCAAAATTGCCAAAAATTCTCCACTGGGAAAAAAATTTCTTTTGTCAAGAATTTTTCCTTCCCGCCTAAATCTAGCAATTACTGTGTAAATACTCCCATGAAACTTACGGTAAGTGTATGGTTCAGGTCCACTAAAAAACAAAAATCATTGAAACATTAATTTCTTTGAATGAAAACCCTTCTTATTCGCCAAGTCGTAAAAAACAACTCGCGAGAAGAGAGAGAAATAACAAGGAGGGGAATGCATCGATAAATAGTCCTAAAATAAACTCTGTTGTCCCTGAAATTCCTTAAACCTCCCCTTTCTTCTGCTATCGCTGTTGACGCGACGAGTGAGTGATATTTAATTCCGTACTTTGAATAGCTACAGAAAGGTAGCGGCGGATAAGTCACTCGTGGTGTTCGTTTAGCGATGGTAGATGGTTAGATGTGAATTCAGAGTTTTAGTGAAGTGCTCAGGACTATTAGATAAATTCATCTTTCTGTGTGTCCATCGTCTTTAAATGTGCTGTCAAGTGGTCTGTTTTGGGGTGGACACACTGCCACGTCCTCGCCGAGGCCCTGGATAACGCAGAGAGCGGTGTATTAAATGTCATATCTCCCACACTAGTTGTTTCCAGATAAAAAGGTGACCAGATCCTTAATGAGGCGACAGAAACCCATTCAACCAAATGAAAAACATCCAGAACTGTTTCGTGGACCTGAACTAGACATTTACCAAACTTACTAATGCTAAATATATTTTCTTTTGGTTAATAAATAGGCTTGGCTGAAGAAACTTTTCTCCTCAGTGTAATAATTTACCTACTGTTTGGAACATTAGTTCAAAAATGAAAAATAAATCTAATTCTTCATTCGTTAAGCAGAAAGACCTCATTATTTCTCTAGTGTTCCAGACGTTTATCGATTGAAAAAAATTTCATTCAATCATTTCCACGACTTGCACGAAAAATAAAAAGGATATTTTGCAGCATACTGAATCGTTATCAAAATACCGGTAGGTGAATGCGGAATAATATGGAGAAATTTTTACTTAAATTAGTGGAGTAGCAATTGAGACTATCGAATGTATTTCCCGGAGCACGGAATCAGTATCTAAAATAATAAGCGCCTTGTTCAAAATTAATTAATTATTATCAAATTGAATCTCAAATTGATGCTTTCGAAAAAAAAATGATTTATTAAATTGTGTAACGAAGTAGTAATTATAATTTTAAGCCCATTCAACGATATATATTATTATTAGCGATTTTCATGCTTTATTCAAGTTTTTTTTCTATTTTTGTAGTTTCACTTGACAGTCTGTCAGCCTAGTAATTGCTAAATGCTTAATTTATGTTTGTTTAAACATAGAAAAATGTTAAACATTAAGAATAGAACAATTTTCAATGAATGTCCGTTTTACCACAGTATTTTGTATTTTGGTGATACCAAATGATAAAAAAGTTTGAATTAATGTTTTGCTTCATTTTGACCCGCTCATCATTTCATAAAGCTTTCATTTCTTTACGACATTTGTTTTTGTAAATCAATCACAGTATTTATTTTCAACGTACCGGGTATAGCGAGCTGTATTATGGGTATTGATTTAAGATATGGCGGCAGTTCGGTCATCCATAATTCCAAATTGTCGTTTGAAATTATGTTCCAAGGCTGTGCACCAGTGAAGTCATCGAAGTAGTTGTTCATTCTCGATGTTGTGTCTGGCCAACTGTTTTTGGTTTGGACTACGGGTGAATGTCAGGATGATTGAATTGAGGAATACTCGATTGATTGACGATAAAGACTTCTGGCAACGCCCTACTCATGTTACGACGGCCACGTGGCGTCAGTAGGACTGAAGTATTGAGTACATAGCGCAAATTGCATACGTGAGACAATTGGTTTGGCCTTGAAGCGCGTTTGCGGAACGTCAACGCGGTCATTTGGCACTCGACGTAGAAAAATTGGGCTGGGTGGGAAAAAGAAAATTCTAGTTAGTACGGCGACTAAGAGATCAAAAAATTCCCAGAGTAGAAACGTAGAAGTGACGGATATTCAGGCCTGTGACGTCCTGAGCTCGATAGCCAGTAGATGGCACTATATATGATTAATCTTAGTCCGCGAAACTTAAATTAATTTAAGTTATTCTAAAATTTAATCAGTGTCGAAATACGCAGAAAATAAGTAGATACAATGGACAACGGACATGACCAATGAAAACAACACCACCAGTGTTGGAAAATCGTTACACATAACGATAAATCTTAACCTCTTGAGTTTAACTTTCCCATTTTTATTACCCTTAAAATTCGTTGGATAAATATTTTCTCCAAACCCGAAACTCGAGAAGGAAATTATAAAACTCCAATTCAATACGGTCTAAGTCATAAAGTCCCAGTTCTGTTTTTGCTCAAGTTTTTGTTTCAACACGTGTGAGGTCTCCTTTGTCTATTGTGTCGAAAGCTGAGGGCCTGAGTCCCTTGATAGAGGAAACGTGATGTCACGCATTTTCCTTTTCACCCACTGATCTCTATATATAATAATATAATATATAGAGATCAGTGTTTTCACCGCTTTCCCTGTTCTTCCCCTCTTCCCTTCCCTTGATCAAGTTGCGTGCGCAATGTTTAAACTAGTGGGGGTTGTAGGACCCAACCATTGGAAAATTAGTGAAGTTTAAGTGAGTTCGATTTTAACTTGTTACTGTGACGCTTCTCTCTTCAAATTAATTATTCTCCAGGTTACACAGTTTAGTTTTGTTTTAGTTTTCTTAAAGTCTGTCAGTATTTCAAGGTTCAACATAAGTTTGAAAGTTATTAAGTTGGATGGACTTCAGATGGCCGAAGGGGCGGCGCTAGTTATCGTAAAAAATGTGCAAAAATTATGCGCGTAAGAGTGCTAGTATATGAGGAAAAAAGAGCCTAGGGATATTGTATCACTTGAAAATTTGTGATTATCGAGTAGCAGTCGATTGTTTTATCTCGATTACTGATATTCGAGAGTGATAGATGCAATGTTTTCTTGTCATTGTCAAGGAAAAATTCTACCATAGGTGTATGTTGTTCAATAGTGAAACAAATAGTTGTTTCCTTTACTATAAACGTGATTGACAATGAATGATCGTTTTTGTCATCTTTTATTCGTCTTCCTATTGGTCGATGGATCCTTCAATCTATAGTTTTCATGACTGCCACAATTTCGCCTTATGAGTAAGAGAATATCTAAATTGCGACATAACCAGTTGCTCTCATTTGAAAATTCATTTCTTTCCTCAGATTGAGGTGAAAGAAAGATAATTAATGTCAATCGGCCAAGAATTTAATTGTGAATCCATAGCACTAGTTTCATTTCTTAATTTACATTAGAAAGAAAGATTTAATTTACCAAATGAGAGCGACTCGTGCGCAGTTACTCAATAATAATCAATAAAATAGTTGGATGAGGGATCTGATTTTGCAGATATTTTGATGGAATGGACGAGTTACGATCGGATTACAGGATGATGTGTGAAAGGATCAAATAATAACTCGCGTGGTGCTGGCCAAATAAAGTCAATTTAATGAGTAAAAAATTCGTTAGTTACACTCAAATATGTCACAATAAAAGAGCTCAGCTAGAATAGTATAGAATTCAGAGAATTATGAGATTAATTCTGAGAAGGACTGATAATGACCGGGTCGATTAATTTTCTAGAAGAGAACTTCCGAGAAAAACGCGTAAACACTCTCGAATGGCCGATATGCAAATTACTAAGGAATTGAAGGGTTTAACTAATCGATTTCAAAATTTCCTCCACTACAATGATTCTCTACATACTGGACCGCAAGGTCACGCGCCTGAGCGATGCTTTGAGGTGTTCCATACTTTGTTTCAAAAGCAATGTACTTTTCGAATAACGTTTTCATCTTTTTTGCAGAGAGTGTTTGGATAATAGCCCGTCCTAGAACTTTTCTTGCAGAATCATAGTTATCTGACTTGATTAAAGCGTCGACGTAAATGGACCAAACGTCAACTCTTTTTGGATAAGATGTCAAAATTTTCTCGAACAGAGTCGCCGCCCGGTCGCTATCTCCAAAGTTATTCTCCAATTGGGCGAACTTTACCATAAGATTCACGTGATCTGCTGCAGAAAGAGACTGAATAGCCCTCTGCATTATTTCTCTAGATTTTTCCTTCAATCCCATTTTTAGCAACATAGCTCCGCATTCAACCCACACTTCCTGAGAGCTCTTAAACTTCTTTGTGATAGTATTCACAATTCTTTCTATTTCATCCATCCGCCGAGAATCTCCGTGAATTTTCAACATATGAAGATAGATCTTCTGGGAGTCATTGGTCTTAATAGCTTCCTGGAAAACCCTGTTCAAGCTTTCTGCAGTTCCAAATCGGGATTCAAGATTTAACCAACCCTGCCAGATGTTTAGTTTCTCATTTTCCTCTCTGAAATTGATAGTCTTCAAAGCCTGTTTAACGACCGCTCTTGCTTTTTCAATTTCTGTGGTATGAAGAAAATATGCTATATATTGTAGCCATACAAAAGAACTGTCGGGACTAGCCAGGACGAGTCTGTTGAATTCATCCACTGAATTAGGCACGTAATTATTGGTTAATTGTGTCTCTCTCTTTCTAATTTCACTTTCTCTCCGATACTCCAATACTTTTCGTTCTGCTGAGCTTAATTTATTACTTTTCTGGGAAAACTGACCTTCCTGTGCGTCTTCGTCATCACTGGACTCTTTATTATGGTGGGGAGAAATGTCCGGTTTAGAGTCCCAAACAAAACCACATTCTGGAATACCCAACTTTCCTGCCTCCGATTGTTGTTCATTTTCAGTTTTTTTATTAGCATCTTCGGCATCCTCAGCTAAGGCGAATGTTACCAAACCCTCTGATTCATTTGCACAGGTAAACATTTCTTGTTGTTCTTCATTTTTTGACTTTATGAGTGCTATTTCTCTCTTTGTTTTGATTGATTTTGTTTTGTGGGATGAGGAGTTAGTTATAGGATCAGTTTTTAATTTCTTCATGGCTCTATTTTTTTCCGTAACATTTTCCAGGTGTCTTTTCCTTTTTTTTTGTATTGTTTCGCTTACAACGAATTCATCACCAGGTGTTATATTGTCGTCCATCTTCACTTGACAATCGACCATCCCAGACTTATGGAGTTTTGGTGTGACAAAGCCAGCATTCCTATAAACGATTGGGATAATCTCTGATTCATTATCTTTCATGATAACGTAACACTTTATCTTGGCTCCAATCTTATAGCTGGACAAATCAGGTGTCAGATCGTTAACATGCGCTTTGGTGGGTAAAGCTACGAGGTTTCCTTTACCACAACCTTTCAACACAACCAGAACAAACCACCTGTTGATCAAGACAATTTCTCCTTTCAACTTTTTTTTAAGAGCATCTTCAGGAATTTCATTCTGCTTAGGCTTGATAGCATTCATCAAAATTGGATCTAATGTAATTTCCACAAGCTCATCCACGTAATTAATCCAGAGGATAGAGCCATTCACTTTATCTCCAATTTTCAGCGATTTTTCAGCGTGGCTTTTACGTGCGATTGCCGGGACACCATCATTTAACTTGATAACTGTTCCATTTTCGGTTATTGTCTCAACCACTCCGGACACTTTCTGACCCAGTTTCATTTTTGAAATTTTGTGAGTACTATAATAACTGAATGAGGCTAGCTGTTTTAATTTTGAAAGATATAAAGCGAGAACGTCGACAGAAGCAATGAGGTCCGTATCATTTTCCACAGCTGAAGACCAGACTTCGTGGAAAATGGTTGTGAGATGAATTACCTGAGTTTTTTTATTAATTTGAGTGATTTTTCCGAACAATATTTGATGTTTGAATAACAGTTTGATATTGTCTATTTTATTGAGTGAGACAATTCCATAGCATTTCAAGTCCTTCACCGGTAAGAGCACTTCAATTCCTGTTGTATTGATTTGGGTAATAGAGCAAGGAATGCAATCACTTACGGATAGGTTTTTTATGTCTGTATACCACTTCTGAGGGTTCAAAGTTGTCGTTAAAATGAATTCTGGTGTTGTGGAGAAGACGAGGGCTGACATAGTATCGCCAGGAACTGAAAGAGCAGCCATCTGTTTTCCTGTTTTCTCACAAGGGGACATATGTCCTGCTGGCAAATATGCTGTAATAGCATCGTTTCCAGAGGGATTTAGAATGCGAATATGGACGCCTTCTACAGAAGAGTCGATGACTTTTCCCTCTACCGTTTCTCCTATTTCAAATGGACATATCATCCTTTTTTTATCTGCTGTGGCGAGCTCTAGGATTAACCTGCGCTCTTGAATGATGACATTAGCCACTTTCACCTCAATTACTTGACCCTCTCTGAAGGCTTTAATTCCTCCTGGAATATTTCGTAGTGCCTTCGATGGAATTACACCTTTCAAATCCTCATAAAATTTTATTAATAGCCCTTTTCCACTTTTATTGATGACCGTTCCTAAATATGTAGAACCAACTTGAGCTTGAGTGAATTCTGATAGAATTGGACGGTTACTTTCTACTAATGACCTCTTTAAGGTGAAATTGAAACGTTCGCCATTCTTATCTCTTGAAAGAACTCTCGCTAAAACTTTTTTTCCGATCAGAGGAACAACCGCGTCGTCGATGTCACGAATTTGCTCGGGAGGTACATCTCCTAGGATTCTTCCAGATTTTACAAAAAGGAATTTGTTAGGGCTTTCGCGGATTATTTGGACTGGCATAAGGTCCCCCGCAGTCACAGTCTCTGGGATTTTATATTCCAAGGTCAGCTCATGCTTCAAAGCAGAACATATATAAACTCGATCAAAATTGTCGTATGTTAATATTCTACATTTATGGACCGAGTTTGGAGGGAATTTATCCCGAATTTGATCGAATTCAACACCTGTACGCTTCAAGGGCATGTATCCACGGAAATTCTTCTTGATTCTTAGGGCTATTCCTTTTCTATCATGGAAAAGAATTTTTGCTTTTTCCATTTCTCCAATTGTTAGAGTTGCACACTCGGGTTCTAGCGCAATTTCGGTGAAGTACGAAAATTTCACTGTGGGGAGAGTGTAAAGGAACGTTGCGAAAAGCTGTGAACCTTCTTCGTAGGTGTCCAGAGGATTCTCAAGGTATAGACGGTTTATGTAGCCAATATTATCCTTATTGAAGGAAATATGAAGACCATCAGGGAGAAGTTTTTTTATAACGACAGACAATTTAGTTCCGGGAATTAGGGAATTTAAGTGTTGATCTTCTGATGATAAAGGACTATTCGTAAACTTGGGATCTGTTGTGAGTTTCAATGTTGTTATGCCCTCGGTAGTTGTTGTTGAGCGGACTACACAGAAAACTTGTTGTCCAACATCTGGAAATAATTATCAAAATTTCGAATTAACATAACGAATGCTGATACTAAGTATAAAATTGAGGTGATTCTTAAAAAAATGACTTGGAGGTTCAATTTCGTTACAGCTGCTGAGAAAAATATTTTGAAAAATCGATTCCCGTCGAATTTTAAAGAATACGATTTAATTTGACATTTCCCTAAAGCAATAACTATGCCTGCTTCCGCTTGAATTAATGATTGAATAATGAAATCCTGATCAAGAACCTACTTCTACCGAAGACTTGTGTTACAGTTTTCATTTACAATAAAAATTCACTTTAGGCATAACACCGGCTATTATACGAAAATCGCTTTGCAAACACTACACTGTCTAAAATGATTTTTCATGCCTCTTCAACATATCTCGAATGTGAAAAAATTAATAGATAAACGGGCTCAAAAGAAAATTCCAATCCTTGCGTTACTTCGCTACCCATATATTCATCTATTGATTTCAGAATACTCACAGTATTTAACTCCCACTTTGACATCGTTCTTGCTCAGAAATCCTCGAAGATTCTTATTTCCAGTATCCACCACGTATCCATGATCCTCGACACAACTAATAGAACACGCTATTCTAGATCCTGGCGCCAATTTACCAGAATCAAAATTTAAATTAATCATCTCTGGTTGAACTGAGAGGATAACTCTATGTTTACTTTGTACATCAATCACTTTTACATAACAAACTAGATAATTTCCTCGTTTGTAAAGATCGGAGAGTGGTTTGAAATCCGGTGGAGGAAGTTGTGAGGAGACGAGATTTTGAAGAAGGTTTGTATAAGCCTCACTTATGTCTGTGATTTGTAACAATCCACTCAACCGCCCTGGGAGTGAAATCGTCACATCATACTGGGAAGAACGCTGCACTCGACCCAGCAATATCATTCCTTGTGTCAAAGTGCCATACGTTAAGTTCAGCGCAGCTCTTGCTATAATGCCTGTTTTCAATTGTGCATCTTCACCTTTACGTTTTTTCATCTTAGACTTTTGTGATTTCAACTTTGAAGCTTGCAGCAATGCCTAAAGAAAGAAGAATTGCAATTACTTATCCGACGGTATTTTCTAAATGCTAGCTTATCTATATCTAAATTAGATATGACGAGTATTTTGTCAAAAACAAATATAATTTATTATTGCTTTAAAAAAAAATAATTTCATATCAGATTTTATAGTGGTATACTGTAGGATCAGTCTTCCAATTTAGTAGAGAAGTAGCGAATTGTATCATATTATTCCGCGAATGGTATCATATTATTTTCCATATTATTCCCGGGGACTGCGATCTCATAAAAAATGTAAACAATTTGTTTCAATGAAAAGTATGGTGCTTTCAGATTCAATCACTCTTTCTCGAGAAAACTGGCTATTTTCCAAAAAATTTGGCAACTGGATAATTGCAGTGCAAAAAGTGTTTCTCTTAATGTCGAACAATGTCACATTAATAGGGGAAATTCGGAATGCATAGCCTGGCGATCGTAACTTCGGTGTGCAAAAAGTGTTTCTCTTCTCTTTATGACTTACATAATTTGGCAGATTTTTCTTCAAGGGTTTCTTACCACCTCGTGGGAAATTCTGTTGCACCATCTAAAAATGATTAATAAACACAACATATCCTGTAAGTTCAAGCTTTTAAAGACGTATCTCGATGGATGAAGCATGCCGTTAGAATAATTAGATTACTGCTGTTCACAAACAAACTTCAATTAAACAAAATTAATGACAGTTATAATTAACTACTGTAGCCATTGTAACAATAAAATTATGCAAATGAATGTAAAATAAGAAAAATTGAATCACCTTTATATCTGAACGTTAATGCATCAATAACTTTCTTATTCATAGACTGTACAATCCACGTGCTACGCTACAAGCATTACATGAACCATAGAAACAGAGATTATAGGGGAGATTGCTAGGGCTTATGGAAGGGCTTTGGCGAGTGATTCATTGCGGCGGCTACGGAACTACGCCCAGAGAGCTCGTACGTGTAAGTAAAACAGGTCGCGAGCCCGTGAGTGTCGATAATTTTCAGAGTCCGTGCCAGAGATTATATAGGGGAGATTGCTAACGCCAATGGCGAAGCTTCAACCGCGAAATTGTCTGGCCGCCCGAGCCGAACTAATTTTGCGGGTGTACCTGTGAATCAAATAGGTCGCGAGGGCAAGATTGTCGGTAATTTTCGGAGGGCGTAGGTATAGATAAAGCAGAGCGCGAGCCCGAGCGTGTCGATAATTCGGAAAGACCAGCAAACGCGAGAGTGTCGATAATTCCAGGAAATCGTGACGAAAGAAAACATTCCATATAGAGCGGAGTGGGGGTATGATGAAGAAACAATCGATGGACGGAATGAGAAAAATGAATTCACTTCTGTAAATTCGAAAAATTGTTCAACAAATTGGGGAAAAATTGTCTCGCAAATATATATTCAAACAATTGAGAATCGTGTGAAACGTGGAGATTTATGGGTCCCTCAGAACTTTTTTTTT